GTCGGAGCAGGTGACCATCCCAGACCGCGGCATATCGAATTGCACCGCGAGCAGCGGCATGATGTGCATGGCGTTCTGCAGCTCCTGCCTCACAGAAGGCCAGAGCAGGCTGGGCGCCCGGTAATGCCGCCGAGCGAAGTCGTAAGCGGCGCGGAAGATACAAAGCGCCGGGGGGTTCAGCAGCATGGCATGCGTAAAATGGCCGATCAGCTTCTCGACGCCCCTGCCTGCCACCAGCCGCCGCCGCAGCAGAGCACGCGTGCCCTGCACCAGCCGCCACCGCTTGGAGGAGGCCAGGCGGCGCCGGAGCTTGATGCCATCCAGCTCCAGGCCCAGCGCCTCGACGACATGCTTGCCCTCCTCCACCTCGTGCAGCGGCAGCCCGACGCTGGACATCTTCTTGGCCGCCTGCTGCCTGGCGTCGGCAGAGGCGCCGGGTCGAGACGAGACGAAGACCTCATTGCCCACGTACACGATGCGGGGAACAGGCGTAGCCGAGGTCGTCGGGGGCACCTGGCGGTCCGCCAGCTCGCTCTCGATGCCTCCAAGCCCTGCCCGCCGCAGCAGCTCTCGATGCGCCTGCTGCGTCCATCTCATGGCCCACGAGAACCCCATGGGCAGCACCCGCAGACATGGGTAGACCCAGGCGCCCGCGAGCACAGGCTCGCCCTGCACGGTCTTGGCCCCCACCTCGCCGGCCCTGACGGGCCTCATCCCGAACCACGGCACCACGTAGTCCGGGACCTTGAACTGGTAAAAGCAATCGGCGATGTCCTGAATCGAGAACTCCAGCATGTCCCCAGGCTCTGCCTCAAGCCCGACCATCGCCGCCGTCGACGCCAGCTGGATGGAGGTGGGACGCCTGAGGTTCTGATTGACGGACCTGGCATCCACTATCAGGCGCAACTTGCCCGACTTCTTGCGTACGAAGAATGTCCCAACCTCAAATTCACGGCGAGTACGGAGCTCCACCATGCCCCTGTTCAGCAGGTCCTGCACGAACCTGGTGTACTCGCCTCTGTCCGCGTTGAGCGTCTTGTCCCAGTAGACCTTGCAGGCCGCTGGCGGCTCCTCCTCAGCCCGAAGCAACAGCGCGCGGGGACCGTCGATCACCTCCTGGCGGTCAGGGTCTGGCAACACGTCCAGCAAGTCAACCGAACCTGCGGTGTCCGGCCACGAGACCAAGCCGCGATCATGCGGCGCAACCACGGAGAGGTCCTCGGACGCGTAGTCGAGGGCCTCGGTACCGAGCAACTCCCGAAGGGCTGCCTCGGGGGCGGGCAACGGGTCCGGCGGCCTGTCGTCAGTGACCGCGCGCAGGATGCCGTCAAGCGCCGGAGACTGTGCCTGCGATGGTCTTCCTCCAGGCAAAAAAGAGCCGTCCCCGTACAGGTTGTTGAGGGCGGCGATGCAGTTGTTCGAGCGTCGGCCGATGGCCGCCTTCCTGCCCAGACGCTGAGCAGCACGGCGAGGACCTCGGCGCTGTTCAGGAGAGCTATAGGTGACCTCGGGCACAGGGAACAGATCCCGAGGCACCACCCTCTCCATAGTGCGGCCTGCATCTACGACCCGGGACGGCCAGCCCCCGGATCCTGAGTCCATCATGACCTCTTAGGAGCGCACGCAAGCGTACGCTCCTCGGCAGCCTCCTTCTCTTCCTTCAAGATGGACGATTCGCGGGCAGCCCACTCGGCCACCCACTTCTGAAGCTCCGGGGCCTTCCACGCACCTCCCGTGCGCCACGCCCTGCCCAGGTGGTAGCCCTGCAGGTCGAAGTCCTTCCCGGCCTCCTGCTTCTTCTTGATCCGCTGCTTGGTGTGCCGGGAGTGGAGGCACAGGCTCCCCATGCCCGCCAAGTCCGACACGTCGAGCTGAACGAGAGTGGTCGCCAGCTCAATGATCTCCGAGAGCATCCCATGCGTCACCGCGTTGAGCTCGACATCCTGCAGCTCGTTCTCGTGCTTCCAGGTCGAGAGGCGCTTGAAGGGGCCAGCCGCCTGTTCAGCTATCTCCTTCACCAGGCCCAAAACCGAGCGCGGCCCTTCCAGCACCCAATCATCAAAGCCACACATCTCCGAGCTGTTCGCCACACTCTTCATGTTCTCGAAGCGCCGTCCCGCGATGTCGCGCAGCGCCGGCAGGGTGCGCGCGTCCTCGGAGCTCGGCGCTCCTGGCGCCCGCGCCAGCGGAGTGTCCGCGCCCTCCACGTCGCTGTTCCTCTTCGTCCGGCGCCTGAACAGCTCGATCACCTCACTCTCCTGCTCCCCAACCTCCACGCGATACAGCACCGCGGGGTCGCCTCGCAGGCCCCTGTCATACAGGTCCACCGAGCCGTTGCCCACGAAGCTGTCCGACGGGATGTGGTGCTGCGCCTCGAGCGTGAAGGTGTTGCCCACGTACTCCTGCGCCGACAGCGCCACACACACCCACTTGACGAGCTCCGAGCTTGACCCAGCAGGACGCGATCCAGCTGGGGGAGGCAGAGGGGGAGCCGCGCTCGCGCCGGTCCCCGCCAACGCTGGCGGCGGCCCCGGCACGTCCTCCAGGATGCCCATCATGCTGCTCTCCACGGCCGCCTTGGCGCGGCCCTGCTCGAACAAGTCCTGCAGCTCCTGCCCGACGGGCTTCGTCGAAAAGCGGTACACGGGCTGGCCGCGCGCTGCGCCCAGCCCAGCGGGCAGCCCCCCTCGGGGGCCACCCTCTCTGAAGTCCCCGAAGAACTCCAGGCCGATGGTCTCCGCGTAGATGTCCCAGATGCTGTAGCAGCAGTGGTCCACGACTGCGAGGATCAGGCGATCATATGGTTCCCCGTCCACCCCGTAGCTGACGCAGACCACGCTCCCGGGCTTCAGCCCCTCGAAGGACCTGCGCCTTCTCGGAGCCACGCGCATCATGTCGATCGACCTGTGGCCGCTCTCCAAAGGCGCCTGCACCAGCCGATCGAGGGCCATCTGAAGGCTCGTCTGTCTGAGCGCGAAGGCACACGCCAGCACCAGCTGGCACGTCACGTAGCAAGAACGGCACACCGCCTGCGCCAACAGCATCAGCAGAGCGACCAGCCCGCCAGCCAGGACCGCTGCCGTCACGGTCAGCCCGAGGGGCACAGGAGCTCCCCAGATGTCCTGGGAGCCGAGGCAGGCGATGGCGGCGCTCGAGAGCGCCAGAGCACAGGGGCAGACGCCGACCGCCTCCTTCACGCCACCATGAAGCTGGGCGCCGGGGCCAGGGACTTATAGGCAGAAAAGGCCCAGCCGAAATCTCCCATCCGCCGCCTCGAAAACCGCTTGAGCACAGACAGTTGCGGCCAGAGCGGAAACATTCAGCATTGCACACTGTTACACGTTGCTACAGGAGATCTACGCCACGGTACGGGACGGGAGGGAGGGGTAGGACGCCAGATACGACGCGAGCGCACCGAGCTTGCCCCTCCCCCCTCCCGTCCCCCCTCCCCCGAGTCATGCCCGTTACGGTAGGAGCTCGACCACCAGAAACCTTCCACAGGAAACCTAACTCTGAGACTCTAGGACGTCCCCAGATGTTTGGTGCGGGGACGCCACGCTCTCCATCGCAGAACCATCGAAACCCAAGAAACAAAAGGCACCCTGGTGGCAAGCAGGGTGTTTCTTGGCATGGGCTTCTACTGCATCGCAAGGGAATGAACAAATGCTCTCCAGACAGTGCCGCTCGGAGGCACCCCGCAGGCGGTCGAGCGGACCTGCCCAAGGTGCTGCGCCTTCCCGATACACCCCCAGGGCAGCAGGCGCGCCGTCAGCGGGGCGGGCAGAGGGCGGTTTGTTTCAGGCAGGGGCACTCCCAGCAGCCCGTTTGGGGCGTGAGTGATCTTGGGAGCTCGTTCTGCTTACCCGATGCTTCACTTTCGGGAGCGGGGTTCCCCCCTCCCCCTGCCCCCCCCCCCCTGGGTCTGGACCCCTCCCCTCCGCGAGGTGTCGGAGGGTGCTTTTTGGCCCCAGCTGTCTCCAAGAGGGCCCCAGGGCCCCAACTAGCCTCCAGGATCGCTCACGATACCCCAAGATGGTTCAACATAGCTTCAAACATGTCCCCAAGAGCCCTCAAGATCGCCCCAAGGCGGCCCTAAGTGTCCCCCGAGCCTCCCAAGAAGGCACACAAGATGGCTAAATCCTTCCAAACCGCTGTGTTGATTCAATGGTTCTTGCCTTCTCACCCTCTTGGGAAACCAAAAGGTACCGATACCGCTACTCCCCGGACCTCTCCTGGGCGTGTTCTGGCTAGGAAATCGAAGCGAACCCAGCGGTGGCGACGAGGGCCTCCCAGGAGGCCGAAACACGGAAAAACGGGCGAAGAGCAGCGGTATGGGTACCTTTTCCTCCTCAGATTTTCTCTTCCGATTGACTCTCGAGGCCTCAAGATGGCTCCAAGAAGATGGCGGCCCACGATGGCCTCAAGAGGGGCCAGGAGAGACTCAAGACGGCCCCAAAAGCGCTCAAGACCACCCCAAGATCGGCCCAAGAGAGAAAGAACACCCAGAGGCAATGTCTCGGACGGGCGGGCGGGGGAGAATCATTTGTCTTGACTTCGCCCTAGCAACGGAGGAAACCACGGGACACCACGGGACACCACTGGACACCGCGGGACACCGCTAGCCACTGCCGGACGGGCGGGCGGGAGGGGGAGAATCATTTGTCTTGACGTCGCCCTCGCAACGGCGGGTTCATTCCTCTCGCGCGCCCACGCAGCTTCGAATCGCCAGCACCCACGACACGAACGAAACGAAACGAAACGATTTCCCGGTTGGGGGTCTCCGTTCCACTGCGATCTCACCCCCCGACCTCCGATATATATATATATATATATATATATATATATATAACCACCCATAAGGTGCGTCCGAGGGGTAAAGACTGGCTATGGGTATGGGTGCGGGTTGTCAGACCCACCGGTATGGCCCCCTCCCCCCCCCGCCCCTGTGGGTATGGGTCTGGGTGTTTGTTTGCCGCTCGTCGAGAGGACGGCTGGCCCACCAGAGCGCAGACGTGCGCCAGCACCACCCCGAGCAGCACCAGCTCGAGGCAGAGGCGGCGCCGCCGCGGCACCGCGCGGACGGCCCGCACGGCGGCCAGGTGCAGGCGCCACAGCGCCTGCACGAGGCGGGGCGGTGGACAACTCCTGGTCTTCGCTGGATCGATGATCGGGTCGGGCGAAAGGGGGGGATAGCAAAGGGGGGGGGTGAGAATCAGCTCGCGTAGCTGATTTCCCCGGCGCCTCCCGGCGCCGGGAGGCGCCCATGTATCGAGGAATGGGCCCCTCGGTGAAGCCGAAACCAGCTGCATGCAGCAAATTCCGTAACCCCCCCTTTCCCAATCCCCCCCTTTCGCCCGGCCCGAGATTGGTACGCCCGGCTGAAGGGTCGAATATTGAGCCGGAGCAGGCCACAGGAAGCTCCGGATGCCGCCGGATTAAAAAAGGACTGCATATTGGACTGAGCGGGAAAGGACCGGGGCAGGCGGGATCAAGCCGGATCTGACAAGTTTTGGACAAAGGATCTACCGGCGTCGATGCTGAATATCACCTCCCAGGAGTTGCAGCCTAAGCGAAGGGTCAGGAGGCATCTCCTGGGAGGATGTCATCAGAACGACTCGGGCGTGCCGCCAAGAAGAAGAGGTCGGGAAGAGTTGCCTATAGCGACGACACGCTGGGCCTTTTGCGAGCGGATCGCGCGCCGCTCTGCTCCGCAGGGCGGGAGGTCAGGAAACCTCGGGGACGGGGAAACGGATAGCGTGCCACTCCAAAGCGTGATGGGGCCAGAACCGGCGGCGCGGCACGCCAACCACGGTTCCCGACCGCAGGAGGCAACTCCTGGGAGCTCTTCATAAAGTGCGCCGCCAGGGTATGTCCATAACTTGTCTTGGGCACTCGAGAGGCGGTGGATGTGGATGTCTGCCCCGCTCACGCAGGCGGGCAAATCTCCATATCCACCTCTCCTCGAGATCCCAGGGCACGACTCTCGGGCCGGGCGAAAGGGGGGGATAACAAAGGGGGGGTTTGAGAATCAGCTCACGTGGCTGATTTTCCCGGCGCCTCCCGGCGCCGGAAGCGGCTATGTATCGAGGAATGGGCCCCTCGGTTGGGCCGAAACCAGCTGCATGCAGCAGATTTCGTAACCCCCCCTTTCCCAATCCCCCCCTTTCGTCCGGCCCGAGACTCCGCAGCGGCGGATGTGGGCACACCATGGCGGTGGATAACGGCGGACATCGGCCATCGACCTGCAGCATGCACCGCCGGCGCCGTCCAACCATCGGACAGGGGCCCGTCGAGAGAGCTAACGAGGGAAAGCTGTCTCTCTCCTGCGCCTCCTCGAAGCCCCCCACGGCCAGACTCGCGCCGAAGGAGGAGGAGGAGGAGGAGGAGGAGGAGGAGGAGGAAGAGCAGGAGGAGGAGGAGGAGGAGGAGGAGGAGGAGACGGAGGCGGAGGTGGAGAGGAGGAGGAGGAGGAGGAGGAGAGGAGGAGGAGCAGGAGGAGGAGGAGGAGGAGGAGGAGGAGGAGGAGGAGGAGGAGGAGGAGGAGGGGGAGGGGGAGGGGGACGAGGAGGAGGAGGAGGGGAGAGCGGGACGGGATGGACCCCGGGACGGGCCCGAGGACCGCTTCTGACCTTCGCGCGTCGCGGCGGCGGCTCCTGCGCCTTCGCCGTGCCCCGCGAGCGGGCCGCGGGCCGCTCCGCTCCCCGCGCGGAGGGAGGCCGGGGAACGCTCGGGACGCGCGGACACCTGGGGACCTGGACGTGGCTGTCGTGTCGCGCCGAAGCGTGGGCAGAAACTCGGCGGCGCGACACGCTGTGGAGAAGCGAAGCGCACTGGTACAACTCTGCACCCCGGACCTCTCTCCCACGGCGCGCTCGGGCTCAGATGCCAGAGCGGATCCATGGGGAGACCCGAGGAGAGCCCAGAAGGAGGAAGCCCCAGAAAGGGGGAACGCCAGACAGGCATCGGTATGGGTGAGTAGCGCTTCCTCCTCTGACGCCGAGCGGAAGTTCCTGACCGTTGTCGCAAGAGGGCCGCCCGAGACAACGGCGACCCTCCCTGGCATTCCTCGTCCTCTCTGGGCCTCCTGGCGGATCTGCGCCGTCGCGGCTGGAGCTGGGCCGACAGAGGGCGCACTACTTCAGACTCCATCGAGTTCACTTGGGCGGCAGCTCTCCCCCCCACCCCTCCACCCCACTCCTCCCCCTACACTCTCCCGCTCTCCCTCTCCCCTCCCCGCCGCCTTGTCAACACAGCGCTGGGGGGCTGGGAGGGCGTGTGCAGATGGGCCCCGGCGTGCGTGTGAAATCCAGACTTCCTTTCGGGCCTCGCCACGGCCCCCCGCCCTCCACGCAAACAGACTTCGAAGTCCGCGGGCACCAACTGGTCCAAGACAGTCAGACGCCGGTCAGCTAAAGGTGGAGTGCACCGGAAGCGAACTGAGGCACGAAGGCGGAAAGGAAAAGAGCGCGAGGGGGGACGAGGGAGGAGCCCGCTCAGACCATGAAAGCCGGCGCGGGGATGCCGTGGCAGGATCTTGCATGCGAGCTGCACGCGAGCAGCGGAGGCTGGGGCCGGCCTGGTGCGGAGGGCCCTGCGAGAGGCACGCAGAGCGCCATGCATGCAAACCGAGTGGCCCGGGCCTGAAGGAGCACGGCCTCTGACCGGAGGTGGGCCGGCCGGGGCAGCGGCGGCCCTCCTCGGCGTGTCCCGTCCTCTCCAGGGCCTCCTCGCCACCACGGCTGGACCCGCGCCGCAGAGCGGGCCAGGGAGGACCCCGGCAGAGGGGGCGCATCAACCGATGTATGGGATGCTCACTCTAGCGGACCTGCCTCAAGGGAGCAAGGACCGGCATAGACAGGAACTTTCGACGGTGGGCGCGGACTTCTTGGATCTGCGCCGGGCCCCCCCTCCTGCGGCGCGGAGGCGCCGCCAGGGGGGGCCCAGCGCAGATCCAAGAAATCCGCGCCGACCTCCAAACGTGAATGTTTATGTGCGTTTGTCCTTCGTCGATTCCTGGAGCCACTCGCCCCACTCCCAGATCGGGGAGACGTGAGACTCGGGTCCTTGGGACTCGGGTCGGCCTGACGCGGCCACCATGAAAACTGCGAGACCCGGTCCGAAATGGTGATTATGCGACCTCCCGCTGCAAACGCCCCACGACAACTCTTCACGCGCTCGTGCAGAAGCGACCCGGCGAACCCGAGCTCCGGCGCACTCTCGAGCCTCACGCTTCCCCGACCAGAGCGCAAAAGAGCTCGCTGCGGCGGGCCCCCGCGGGCAAGCAGCACCCTCTTCGGCCTCTGCCGGCGAGCCCCGAGATGATAGGGACCCCCGCGGCGCCTCGCGGGAGAAGTGCCCCTCGTCGACGACGAGGGGCTGCCGCCACCGCCCGTCCCAGCCGCCGCCTGCAGGGGGTGGGGCGCACCCCCGGGGGGCAGCCCACGAGGACCCCGCCTGCAACCCTCCCTCCTCGTCCTCGTCCCCCTCCTTGTCCTCCTCGTCCTCCTCGGCTTCATCCTCCTCCTCCTCGTCCTCCATCTCCTCCATCTCCTCCTCCTCCTCTCCTCCTCCTCCTCCTCCTCCTCCTCCTCCTCCTCCTCCTCCTCCTCCTCCTCCTCCTCCTCCTCCTCCTCCTCCTCCTCCTCCGCATCCTCATCCTCGTCCATTCCGTATAACTCCTCCCTGTCGCACCCCGAGGCTGGTCGACAGGGCGGGCCAGGCGTTTCGCCTGAGACTTCCTCACCACTTATGACCCTGAAACCTACACATTGACAATCGGCTCACACATGAAGGGCGGGTAGTTTTCAAAATGCGGCTCGCGCCGAAGCACCGCGCACATTCGTTTACACAATTGCAAGAGTTTCGCGGATTGAGGGCCGACCGTTTTCACAATGTGACTCTCGCTTTAATGCCGCGCACATCCGTAACACTGCAAGAGCTTAACGGATTGAGGGCGCTTCCCTTTCAAACTGTGGCTCTCGCCTTAGCGCCGCTCATATTCGTCTTACAGGGTTGTAAGAGTTTCATAATTTGAGTGGGGCTATTTTTCAGCATGCGGTTCTCGCCATAACGCCGCGTACATTCTGGTGCAATGCATGCCTAGAGTTCCACGGGTTCCAATCGTTAAATGCCAGGAACGGTCTTTTGGAACGGTTCACGACAGTCGGGGCCAAACAGTTAGTTCCTGCGCTGCGTTGAAGCCCGAGGCATGGTGTCCTGGCACAAATCAGGAGCGTCAGGAAACAACAATCAGGTTGATTGGCGGCGTTGAGTTTCCGAGAATTGTGTTTGGCCCACTTCGGGATGATCAAACGGTTGTCTCCAAACGGGGCACTTCCCTCAGCGGAAATGAATCCTTGTAGGTGCCTGTGAAAAGGGAGCCGGGGGGGAGGGATTATGGGATTATTCCAACATCGTTGGTGAGTCTTGGGTTTGCACTGGTCCTTCTCCTCCTCCTCCTCCTCCTCCTCCTCCTCCTCCTCCTCCTCGGGGGCTTTTCGGGGGTCTCTGGAGGGGGGCTCTCTCGCCAGGACGGGGCATACAGTGCGCTCATTGAGCAAAGGGCCCACGTCGAGGTCCCAACCTGCCCTGCTTCGGAGGCGGACTGGCGTGCCTGGTTTAATGATCAGGCCGACCGGGCCGCCAAGCTAGCCTGTCAGCTGCCCCCTCTGTCGGGCCAGGCCAAGTCCAGCCTGGAAGACCAACTTCTCAGGGTTAAGAGGTTTCTGTATGCTGCCTCCCGTCTGCTCGAGTCGGGACCAGCCCCTCGGGATGAACGGAAGGACCTCAAGCGGCCGCACACTGGCCGCAAACCAGCCTGTATGATCGCTCAGACTTGGTCCTTGTCGGGCCCTCCAAGTGGCAATGCAAACGATGTCTGCGGTCCAAGGTGACTCTGGACAGTGCCCTGGACCATAAGAATTGTAAACAAAGGGTTGCCCACACGCACGATATTGAATAGTGTGAGCTCACCCCTCGGCCCGAGGCTGGGGTCTGTGACATCCTCTTGTTCTGCGAGAAAAGCTGCCAGCATACCGCCTCGAAGCCGCTGGGGCAGGGTAAAGCTTTCCCCAGCTTCGGTGTGGTCGGCTGGCAGCGCCGCTTCCTTCAGTACAAGCAAACTAAGTGTGGCCAGAGCGAGCTGACAATCACGCACTGGCCCCTCTTTGCTCAGTTCTACGGGGCAGGTGCCTCCGAGCTATAGCCATTGGCTCGCTTGTCTCTAGCCCCTGTTTCAAGCCAGGAACCATTTTGGCGCCAACCTCCTCATCCTTCTCCTCCTCCTCCTTCTCCATCTCCTCCAACTCCTCCTCCTCCTCCTCCTCATCCTCCTCCTCCTCCTCCATCTCCTCCTCCATCTCCTCCTCTTCGCCCTCCTCCTTCTCCTCTTCCTCCTCCGTCTCTTCCACCCCTAGGCACCCGAGATCTCTGCAAGACCGCAAGACGGCCCCCCGAGAGAGCCCCTAGACGGCCCGAGAGGCCTCCACGGCGGCCCAAGGACACCCCAAGGATCGCCAGCAAGCCCCCCAGAGACAGTCCCCCAGAGAACCTCCACCGGGGCCCCACTAGCCCCAAAGCAAACCTCCAAGGAAGCCCCAGAGGCCCCCAAGAAACCCCAGGAAGCCCCCAGGAAATCGCCACTAAGCATCCACGAGGCCCCCGAGAGGCATCCTGAGAGAATCCGGGAGGCATCCACCACGCCTCTGACCCACGACTCAGGCACGGTAGGCGGATCCACTGACAGAACTTTGGAGGAGGTGTGCTCCATTGACTGTCGCATTGCTCCATTAACTGCTGACTGTTTCTCCCCCAAGCGAGGTTCACGCGACAGCTCAGTGAAACGACCTCCACCCACCGCCTTCACAGACCCTAAGGGCACGCAGGCAAGTGCCAGCGATGATACGAGATGGGCTGGCGGAGAAGCGAAGCGATTGACTAACCACGACGTCGAGCACATGGGTCGGGGACCCTGGGGCAGCAGGGCAGCAGTGCTACAGTGGCAGCGACCCTTGGGCGTATAGCTGTGCTGCAGTGGCAGCGGGTCTGGGCACGCAGGCACAGCCTGAATGAATCACCGCCTCCTCACTCCTGAGTTCCTTCGGTCAACCAATGTTGAACCAAAAAAATCGCGTTGACCCAGAATGTACGCCGCATCGGGCGGCATCGACACGGAATCGAAGTTCAGTCGGATCGGACCAGCCGCACCAGGACTCACAACAAAGCATGCAAAATATCAGGCCGCACCAGATCGCCGGAATCTCGTCGACGCTGGCCCGGATCGGGCCGGGCAGAACCGATCGATCTCGACCGGGATCGATCGGATCGGAATCTCGACGTGGACCCTGCGCGCCCAGGCCTCCGACGTCACGACCATCTCTTGACGTGCGCCCCAACAAGACCGGGTCCCTTGCCGTCGCTCGGACCTCCATTTCCCGTGCATTTTTCGGTTTCGTGCGAGTTTTTTTTTGTTCGATGGTCCAGGATGGTCCTCGAGGGTCCTCGCCGAGAAAAAAAAATACACACGTCCGAGCGATGCCAGGGTCCACCCGAGCTGGGGGACCAGGGCGAGGGGGGGGGGTGCGCATCAGGGGCCCCGAGGCCCGCGCGCGCGGGCGCGATGGGGGAGGGCCAGGGGATCGGGAGGTATGCGGAGAGAAAGCGAGGGGGGCCGTGGAGTCTTGGAGATGTCGTGACCCCGGCCATGCCACCCACACGCACACATACACACAATACACACACAACACACACACACACGCGTTTGAGGGTTTGGCGGGGCGGAGCAGCTCCAGCCCTCTGATAACACCCACGCACACACACACACACACACACACACACACACGCACGCACGCACACATACAGACAGACACAAGCACACACTGTTTGGCGTTGCGGCCACGCGCGCGGTGGCGCGGCGTAGGCAGGCACACACAAACACACACACGCACGTATGGTCCCTCCTGTCTTTCCCGCGGCCACGCGCGCAGCGGCGCGGCGGCAAAAGACGCAAGCACAAACACGCATACACACAAAAAACTTCTCACCTTTCTCTTGGACGCCCCCGACCTCGGGGCCCTCGACCTCCTCCCAGGGAACGGCCTCCGTCCCAGCAGGCTTCTGCCTTGGCCACAGGGGGGCCAGGAGCGGGGCCCCGGACGCCCACACCGAACGCGTGACAGCAGGGCGCGACCCGGATCTGGTGGGGCGAGGGAGGTCTACGGTCAGGAACTCTTGGCGGTGGACAAGCCTCCCTTTAGCAGACCTCCCCTCAGTGAAAACGGCCTGGGACCGAAACCGACGGACCTGGACCCGCAAAAATGACGGCCGCGACGCCCTCTCGCGAATCGAAGACGGCCGATTCCTTAATCGACGTGTCAGGGTAGGAGGTCTATCAACCTCCGAAACTCTTGGATATAGCGTTTCGCGGCGGCGGCCCTGGCGACACGGCATGCCCTGCAAGCTGACTGCGCGCCACTTTGATCCGGGGGGCGGGAGGCTCGGCATGGCTCGGGACGTTGGCGGATGGGGACCGTGAGTGAAGGCCCTTCGCTCACGGTCCCCATCCGCCAACGTGAAGGGGACAGCGTGTCCGCTTCACTGTGAAGGGGGCAGCGCGTCGCGCCGAGGCGCGGTGGGCCAGAACCCGCGGAGCGACACGCTGTCCAGAAGCTCACGACCGGATGTCTGCGGCCGGAGCCTCCGCCGCCCTGCCTGCGCGCCGACTCCGAGCCTTCCGGGCGTGCAGGTCGAACGGGAGGCGCAGGCAGCAGTCAGTCGGGCGTGTCCCCCCACAGGAGGATTCTGGGCGAAAAATAGAAACTACTCAAAGAACCCCCTCCCCCCATGGGCAAAAATAGTCAAAAAGTCGTCCCCAGACTATTGCTTGACTATCTTTGAGCATCCCCCCTGTAGAGGGACACGCCCGACGTAAAGGCAGCAGCACGGAGCAGGAGCGCGGCCCAGGCTGGCTCTGGCCCGGCCGAGCCCGCCGCCGAGACCGGGGACGACGGAGCGCGGCCCCGCTGCTCCTGGAGGTGGCAGGGCGCTCTCGGGGCAGCCGAAAGCGAGGAGCTGGCTTGGGAGGGAGAGGAGGAGGAGGAGGAGGAGGAGGAGGACGAGGAGGAGGAGGAGGAGGAGGAGGAGGAGAAGGAGGAGGAGGGGCGGAGGAGGACGAGGAGAAGGAGGCGGAGGAGGAGGAGGAGGAGGAGGAGGAGGAGGGGAGAGATGGGGGAGGAGGAAGAGGAGGAGGAGGAGATGGGGGAGGAGGAGGAGGAGGGGGAGGAGGAGGGGAGGAGGAGGAGGAGGGGGAGGAGGAGGAGGAGGAGGAGGGGAGGAGGAGGAGGAGGAGGGGAGGAGGAGGAGGAGGAGGAGGAGGAGGGGGGGAGGGGGGAGGGGAGGAGGAGGAGGGGAGGAGGAGGAGGAGGAGGAGGAGGAGGAGGAGGAGGAGGAGGAGGAGGAGGCGGAGGAGAGGAGGAGGAGGAGGAGGAGGAGGAGGAGGAGGAGGAGGAGGAGGAGGAGGAGGAGGAGGAGGAGGAGGAGGAGGAGGAGGAGGAGGAGGAGGAGGAGAGGGGGAGGAGGAGGAGGAGGAGGGGGAGGGGAGGAGGAGGGGGGGAGGAGGAGGAGGAGGAGGAGGAGGAGGAGGAGGAGGAGGAGGAGGAGGAGGAGGAGGAGGAGGAGGAGGAGGAGGAGGAGGGACAGACCCAGAATCGGCGGTGCAGGTCCCCGGAGTGGAAAGCCCGCGCCGCGGACAGTCTGTGGGGCACTGCGGGCCCCGGTCGGCGAGGCATCGCGCGCTGGGAGGCCAAGAGGCACCCCCAGCGCCCGTCGGCGCCCAGGAGCGGGGCCGGCAGGGGCGGGCAGCGGCTGCATGCGTGCGCTGGGGCGTGGGCGGGAGGGATCGGCTGGAGAGGGGGGGGGAGGTTCGGCGCTCGCGTGGGGAGGGGGTGGGCTGGAAGGGGCTGCCGGGAGGGGCAGCGTGGAGGGGGGGCCCATCACAGCGCGCGGGACGCAGAGCAGCGGCGAGGCTGCACCAGCACAAACCTTCGGAGGCCCCCGCGGACGTCTTGGCTCGGCGCCGGACCAGTCTCCCCGCACCCCATTCCCGGCGCGCGGGGAGCGCCGGAGGCGGCGGCAGATGCGCCGCCCAGGGGTGGCTTGGAGGGGTGTTCCAACGCCGAACTTTTGCTCAGGAACTCTTGCTCAACGTGTCGCGGCGGCGGCCCCTGCGACATGTTTTTCCAATCCGACGGGGGCCCAATGGCGAGAACGGATGGCATGGCGCGGGAGGCTCGGGAGCGGCGCGGCGGCCCTGGCGACACGCATGCCTTGCAGGCTGATGACATGTCGCTTTGCTTTGTGGAGCGGAAGCGCAGAACGT